GGGCTAGCTTGAAAAGTTTTTTTTGTCGTTCGCAGCAGTTCGTACGTTTACAGCGAGAAGACAAATACTGAGGAGAATGAATAAAAGAAAAAATGGAAGGTTAACTATGATAAAAAAAGAACTGCGCCCATGATCATCAGAAAACGATGACAAAAAAGATGCTTCCGAAACGCAGCACAAAAATAAACAACAGAAACGAGTCTATCACTACAACGATTAAAATGACATACAGTCGTTACAAAGACGGAAAAACACCATAATTCAACGCCTAAATAATGTAATAAAAAATCGGTTATTTTCACTTACAACGAGAGATAGTAAAGCCATGAATTTTGTTTTATGAACAACTTGCAGCCGTCGCTAAAAATAAATGGTTAAAAACTGCGGTTCGAATGTACGCACCTACTGAAAAGTGAATAAAGCAACGAAAGCAGCCACCACCATAAGCTGACAGGTGAGAATGAGGAACACCTAAATAAACATAGGTTAGGCGAACGACATTCAAGCACTTACTTCAGAATGTGCTTAATATCGTAAATATGTTCAATTTTCAAGGCTACAATACGCAATGAATCGAAAATGTCATATCAAACTCCTAAAGAACTCCTAACGAACTAATAATCAGACGAAACGATCACCTCGAATATGCAGATACACAAGTAACACTCCGACCAGACGGATAACTCAACTACCATCAAGCATTCTGTGGAAAGGAACATGAGTAATTCGTAACAGGCTCTGCACCTTCGAAACGGTTTTACTACTGTTAGCGTAAGACCGTTTGGCAAAAATAGCAGTAAATGATTTCTCTTTCACAAATTCAAGTTCTAATGGCAAGGAAACTCCAGTTGAATTAAAGCTAATTAATAATTTATTAAAATAGTATTAAATATTTTCATACAAAACGTCTGCTGATAGAAGAAAGTTTTGCTGTTGCTCGAACAGGTCGGAACTCAGTCAACAGGGGGGTTATACTCAGGGTTGCAGTACACCGCTGGTGCTCAAATACCATTGGGCCGTTGTTTGCTTAAATACTCATCGTAGGTGCCTAGAAACAAGAGAACGGTGCGCTTGAGCGGAGTAAACCAGAAATC